CGGCTTTGCCTCAACTTGGTCAACGCGCGCTTTTGGGTCAAGCGTGGCCAGGTCCTTCCACAGATCCCAATGACGGAAACCTGAACCCCCAAAACTTTGGGTTTCAAGTTTTTTCTAGCCCTATTAAGTTTTACTAAGGCACCTCAAACCCAGTCGCTGGATGAGACTAGACCGAGTCAGGAAACAATTGACCGTGTCAGAAAACATGAGTCAAGAAATGGAGGGCGAGTCAAGAAACAACTGGAGGCAAGTCAAGAATGACAGTGATAAATATTTAGATCACAACAGCAGACGTGAGTCAGGAAACGCGGAAACGTGAGTCAGGAAACGCGATTCAGAAATGATGTGGTCAGTGCTTTTGAATTGGCGGTGATGCTGGGATGCAAGTCTGGCACTGCGAGCTTTGCGCTCTGACACGTGCTTCATGCGTCGTTCCTTGATATCTTCATGGCTCGGATCGAGGAACAACCTGGCGTGCAAAGCTGTTCGAATCAGGGGAGAGGGGAGGCATGAAGAGACATGCGTGATGCTGGCCGCAATGCAAAGGGGGATGCAGAAGCCACTGCATGCGTTGTCCTTCGCCGCTTGCTTTGTGCATTGTGCCTTGATGTCGGTTTGGCCCAGGTCAAGGAAAGGCCTGCGTTTTAGGGTTTCGGTGTAGGGTTTCAGGGTTCAGGTTTAGAGTTAGGGTTACGTTTTGTAGGGTTTAGGCTTAGTTTGTTTTTTTTTTTAGTTTCTCAGCGTATACAAGGAAGCGGGGGGTTGGGGGGGGGGGTGGTCCCCCCTCAGTAGAAAACAAATAAAGACACTAATGGAACAATGTGCGTGGTTATAAAACAGAATCACAAAGTCGCACAACAGCCCTATAAAGAAGCAGGGGGGTTGGGAGGGGGGGCGCAGCCCCCCGCAATAGAAAAACAAACTTTCAAAGAAGCTTTTGCATCGCGCGAACCACGAAGCCGAACAACGGCCCTGTTCTGTCGTTTCCGCGTCGCTTCCTGACTCACGGTTGATTCCTGGCTCACGAAACCTTATTCACTTGACTCCAAACCTTTCACAACTCCCCGGCGCGGTGTTCCTGTCGTTTCCGGGGCCGTTTCCCGACTCAAAACACCGCATCTACATATTTATTGACACGACCCAACCCGTTTCCTGACTTGGACCCACCCGTTTCCTGACTTCGTCCGGCCCGTTTCCTGACTCCGTTTCCTGACTCGCCCCTTACCCGTCGCCGGATGAACACGGAAGTCGTGCAGCGTGCATATTTTCCACCCGCTCGCGTACTTGATACAGACATGCCAATATGAAGTCAAGAAAATGACAGATCACGTCGCCGGCCCGGGAAACAAGAGCCGATAGCCCACAGACCGATACATCTGCACCAATGCCATGCTTCCATCACCTATGCCTTCGAGCCGCTGAACATGACCTTATCGAAGCCCACGTCGCTCAGCGACTTGTCCGTGGCGGTGCTGGAAATGCCGCTGCACTTCCTTGCGCGTTCCAACCAGTTTGGAGACAAACCTGTTCGCGTGAAAAGTCGTCTGCACCTTTGAGAATTCAACCTGAGCAGGATTGCCGGAAATTCATTTCGAGCGCCTGGAGTCGCCTATGGGGTAAAGTTCACCTTGCGCCAAGGCACAGCCGCACATATTCGCCTCAGCTGTAAGAAATGCCTGCCCAAGAGTGCACATTCAAAGAAAGGATTGGCATGACCATGCCGGGTTGCTACAACTAATCTTCTTGTCAATGTTATCCAGGATGCCCTGCGCACGGGATGCCCACTCTTGTCCGCAAAAGACACTGCTGTCTCAAAGGCAACGCCGGTTGCGAACTTCCAAACATACCCCACAGCACAACTGATCCTCCTACACAGGGCAGAGCAGCATTTGTTGCCTGCAACTTTCATCACAGGGGATCTTAAGGCTGTTGACCATTTGGGCTGGAGTAGTCATCTATTTCAGATTCAGCCCATTCTAACCGCTTTTCCGTTGAACACCCCTTTGCTCAAACAGGCACGCCGCATCCTCTGACAGAAGAGGGCGCTGGCGCACTAAAAAGTCGCGAGCGCAACTCAAGAAGCAGCAATTCGCCCACTTCGCTGCTGCCTCATGCTCCAAGTGGTAGCACTTGAGCATCTCCATGCCAGGAAGGTCGCCAACTGCCACCCTGGCTGGTTGATGGTTGAGCTGAGCTGCCTCGAAATGAACGGATGGTTTGATCTGACATGTCCTATTTTGCGCAGACTCCTGCATCCGTACATGGCATAACTTGGCTTCTGTGCCCCTCTTTGACACGATGGCCATGGCACATCATTGGCGTATGCTTATTATATAAAACGAGTTCCTCCCGCACGCCGGCCTTGACATCAGCGTGGTTTTGCCCGCGCCGTTCTGGCCGACAATTCCTTGGCATGCTGCGACACGACCAGTTCGCAGCAGCCACCCACAGGCGTGACGGCCCGAAAACAGCAACACACATCCACGTGATTTAGGTTCGTAGCGCATGCCATCCTTTCCATGTGCAGTCAAAAGGTGAAAGCAACCTTCAATCACTGGCAGGTTTTCTCTTCAAACGAGACCTGAGCGTGTCCCTTTTTCTGCGGTCAGAGGAAACACCAATTTTAATGGGAGAAAAATTGCCATTCGTCTCATAAATCCGAGGGTCCATAACGACGCCCTCGTCTCAGCTCGAAGCCCGTGTTGCTGAGAAGCGGCTTCACCTCGTGACTTGTTGGATGGCTCATGTTTGGATCGTTTTACAAGGAAGCCACGGGCAAAACAAAGGCCCAAAGCCCCCCCCCCACCGAAAACACGAAGCCACCTGCTGCACGCACCTGTTGCCCATCGGTCGCCAGCGAATGATTGAGGTGCTTCGCTGAGCGGACCCTGTCTACTCTTGAATCCTGCCAGGGGGCACTGCCGCCATACATGAGGATCAAATTCCTTGGCGGCCAAAGGGCAACACAAAATCAACGCACCACTTGAAGACTTGCAGCACAAGCCAAAGGGTCCGTCTTTTCTTAAGGAAACCCCCAACCCAAAACGAGGGCGATGTGTCCTTGGTTTCCCCAAACCAACCCCGAGGTTAGCAACTCAGAGCCGGGGCACGGGATGAGGCACACCAGATTGCTGTCCGTGTCCCCGTTGCCTCCGGCCTTCTTGGCCCCGGCCTTTTTGGCCACGGCCTTCTTCTCGGGAAAAATGCCATCCTGAGCATTTTGGCCATTGCCGTGTCCAAAGCGACTTTGGAGAAACAAACGCAATGCTCGCAAAGCTTCATGAAAGGCAACAAGCTAAGAGAAGAGAAGCAACACGAAGTGCTCCCTTCAATCAGCACTTGGCTGCCAGATGTTTCTTGCTTGCCGAGCGTCCAGCAGGGTTTTCACAAAGCTATCATCAATCCCCGCAGCTTCCAAGTGAGGCCTTGGTCTTGTTCTCACATGCCTACAGTGCACTAGATCTATGTCCCTGCTTGTGAATGCATGATCATGTGCTACGTGGGGGTGAGAAGATAAGACACAGGGCACACTGATGTAAGCTGTTGGTTGTTGCTCTTTGCTTCTTCCTGATCGGTTGCAGCAGCTGAGGTTGCACGTCTACCTAACTTCACTAGTCTGCATAGTCTTCCCGTTGTCTTCCAGTAACCAGTCTTCCCGCTGTTCTGCAGACGCGTCATAAAATGTGTCTCTACTCAATATTGCATGACTGTTGATTGGATACCAAGGCTTGCCGACAGCATCCGAAAGCCCACGGCATCTTGAAATTGGCCAGTGCATTCCCTCCCGCCGCGCTTTCCACATTGTGCTCGGCCCACTACTGTATTGCGTAATGTTAACCCCTGACTAATAAACCCCTGGTTGATTAATAGGGGGGGTGTCCCCTTTTTGGGGATTCACTTTCGGAGCGAACACCCCCCCAGAAAAGGGACGGGTGTATGAATCCTGGGTCAAGATTCAAGGCACTGGCACGGGCACACTTCGATCTCGACAGGATCTGCGCAACTTGAGGCCCACACACGAGGGCGCCTTCCAGTTCCTCCTCCACCTCTTTGCGGTCGGTCGCCTCCTGGCAACTCGAATCCGCCGGATGTGAGCTCCCGCTACAAGCGAACCACTGTCACTACGCCATGCGGAAGGAACCTACGAACTGACTGTGGCAGACTGCTCATTGCAGGCATCATGGCATGCAACCTGCATCCATGCTGGGAAATTGGGTATGCAGTCCATGCACCAGCACATCTAAGCTCAGGGAGCTGCCCAAGTCTCCTCCCTGGAAGCATTCAGCCCAATTGAGTCATCATCAACACCCTGTATGGAAAAGGCCAAGCGGTCTCCACACCTCTTTCTGGTTGGGACTGTCCCCTGCTAACCTTCACTCACGTGGGTTTTTTCCATGGCTCCTGTGCTGTCATCACCCGACGCATTGCGACTGCCCGCTCAATCAAAACACCCTCCGCCCTCCTGCAGGAGGTCCGATGCCAGCGCGGTGATGTATTCCAACACCTGCGGACTGTTCTCTGCGCGCAACGGTCATGAATGAGGCCCGAACGAGCCAAACCAAATCATGGGCAAATAATACCTGGGCATCGGCACACTCCCGGCCTCCGACTCAACGCCTTTGTCCGCCAATGGCGCCTCAGGTGACGGAAGTTCCGGGCAACCAGAAGGCAGAACATTGAATCTTTCCGCGAGGGCATCTTGTGGCTGCACTCAATGCCATGCTGTGCGCCACATTTTGCGACACAAGCAATGCCAGTGGTTGACATCACCGCCTTCCTAATGTCCAGGCAAGGTTTCAAAGGGCGGATACCGCTTCCTGGGTGTAGTCGCCAATGGTGTTCAGCACCCACCTCGGCTGATTAAGCTGACCTCATTTAGAGTCCAGAGAGGGGATCTATAATCGCAAAATTAGGTACGTCCCACTGGCACAAAAATGGAAGCGGTGGGTGGACAAGTCAGCATAACGAGGTGTGGCACTGGCACGTGTCACGCCACGGTGCTAGGGATACTGCTGGTGTCCCCAGTAGCTTATCAGACACTTGACATTCTGCGAGGAAGTTTGGAGCAGAGCAACCAGGGATTGAGGGCCAAACAAACGCTGCTTAAGCACGCACAGAACAGCCGTTGCCCTGCTACATGACAGACTTTCAAAGCTGCAATATTGCTCCAGTTGAGGGTCATTGTTCGCACAAGAATGCCTGACTAAAACCCATACATCAAGAGATGTGCTGAGTTGTTTGCCCTTTGCTTCTTCCAGCGCTTGCTTGGATGCTGCATCCACTGAAATCCACGCTCGCCCCTTGGCCTGGGGTCTGCTGCCTGAAGCCTACCTGGTTTGTGGGGTGCACTGCTTGTTGCGGCTCCCACTTGGACGCGCGGGACGCAAACGCGGCTACGTCCTCTCGTGTGCAGAACTTTGGAGCACAATGGATGAGGGTGGGAGGTGTCGCCGGGCTCGTCATGTCCAGCAGCGACTCAGACGTGGTGTGGCTGCAATTTGTTGGCATGATGCATAACGACGTGCCGTTCATGTGGACACAGCTCATCCTGGATTGGCGCTGACGCGGTGCAGCCGCGTGCATGTGCTCGCGCAGTACGCCGGGATCACATCTCACTGGCTCCAGCCGTCTTTACCAACACGCACATCGGGACTCACTTTCAACAACCTCCTTCAATTCCACCAGTTCAGTTTCCAGGCGGCCGTCCAAAAAAATCAGCGGGCGCCAACTTGATGCCTCCAGGGCACGAGTTGCAGAACTTGCCCTCGGGGTCGAGCTGCTTGGCCAAGAGCCGGAACTCTTGCAGCGCAGAGCCATAGAGACCCTCCAGCCCTGAGTGCCAGCCAGAGGCGTAAGGATGCGGCCTATGTCCCTTTCAGAGTTCCAGGCTCCTTTGTAGCTGAAATCTGGCTGTCGCAGCTGGCAGCACTAATGTAAACGTATGTGCAAATTTGACTTGATTCGCCTTGTGCGTGAAGCGTTAGGTCATCAGGTTGCCCAGTCCATGCGCATCGGGAAGCATGCACTGATCGCATCACTCAGCCGCCGGCGCGCCCGGGGCATGACAAACAGCTTGCCCCAGTGCGGACGGGCTTGGAAGCGTTCCAGTGCCCCTTCGATGGCGAACAGGACGTTGGTTACCTGAGCTTCATGCCGGAGGCCTATCGAAACATCGAAAGCAACTTTGGGCCGTTGGGAGTGCAATGATATTACTTCGCTCTACTCCACTGCTGCTACCCCTTACACTACAACCTTCACACACGTCATTCACGAACAAGATCAGTCCACAGTTACTACACGCCTGCGCGACACCTGCTCGCGCACAACTTCTTTTTGCACATGTGCACAAATACACACACAGACACAGACACAGACACACAGACACAGAGACACACAGACACGCAGACACAGACAAACAGACACAGAGACACAGAGACACAGAGACACAGAGACACAGAGACACAGAGACACACACACACACACGCACAGACGCAGACACAGACAACAAACAAACAAACACACCAACACACCGAAGAAAAGAAAACAACAAACAAACAAACAAACAAACAATCAGACAGACAGACAGACAGACAGACAGACAGACAGACAAACCAACAAACAAACAAACAAACAAACAAACAAACAAGCACACACACAAAAACAAAGCAGGCAAGCAAGCAAGCAAGCAAGCAAGCAAACCAACAAACAAACGAACAAAACAAACAAACAAACAAACAAACAAACAAACAAACAAACAAGCACACACACACACAACAAAGCAGGCAAGCAAGCAAGCAAGCAAGCAAGCAAACAAACAAACAAACGAACAAAACAAACAAACAAACAAACAAACAAACAAACAAACAAACAAACAAACAAACAAACACAAAACAAAACAAAACAAAACAAACAAATCAAAAATCAAACAAACAACACAAGCACGAGCGAGCAAGCAACCAAACAACCAACAAACAACACACACCAGAGCAAACAAACATGAACGAACAAACGAAAGAACGAACGAACGCACAAAAGAGAGAAATCAAACGAATCAAACACATGCGCGCACATTCATGACAAGCACTCAGACAAACAGACCACGGACGGACGGGGACCCCTCAGTTTTGCACACAGAAATATTGATCCCGCACGCAACCACTGCTGCCTGTCGAGACACTTCCGGCTCCTGCAGTTTCCAGGTGAAGTGAAATCCAACCTCAGGCCAAGGCAAGCAGCTAATAGCTGTTTCGCCAGCTTGGCCCTACAAATGCTTCAACATTAAACCGCGCCCTTCGTACAAGGCAACTCTTGCAAACTGCCTTGAACATCTCTATGGAAACTTGGGTGTGTCTTTTTTAGGGGACCCCCCACATTTGTTACTTAGACTACTTTCCGCTTGGAAAGCGCCTTTTTGCACTTCCATGTTGGTTGGTGGGAGGGCAACCCTCAAAAAAAGACAGGCCCCAGTGTCTGCCCCAACCTCCGTCAAGGCTCGCTGCCAGCCTCCCCCACATGCCGCGCGCAGTTGGGGCTCAGGAGCAGCTGGTCCGACGCCACGGCGCGGATCTCCGAGCACAGCAGAAGCGGGGAGAATGTGCCTGGCCGCTGGTCTCAGGTGGCTGTGGTCGTCAAAGCTAATGGGATCCCATCACCACCCATTTTAGTCTATGTTAGTGGGGATTGGGATGTTCACTGGGGGTACGGCACCCATTTCAGAACCTATTCTTAGTGGGATGCCACCCAAAATGGGTTGCCCTGGTGAATGGAAACAAGGAATACCACCTGCGGTCTCCTGCTGGTTAATTTTGACCCACTGCCATTTTGGTTGGTAGCTGCACCCATTTTAGAACCTATTTTAGTGAGGTTCACTGGGGATACGGACTTTTGACCCATGGCCAGGTGAGTCGTAATGAGTCTTAATCAGAACTCGGTTGCTTTCTAAAAGTTTTACTTTTGGTGGTTTAATGGAAAACCCATTCGTTGGCAAAAAGTTACAGTCCTAGCATCCAAGCAAAATGCACCAATCAAAACCCGGTATGAAAATGGTTTCCCCCAGAACCATGGAAAGAATCAAGAAGGCGGATACCTGAAGCTATTTATGGCTGGGATTGTCTCTGACTAACATTCATCTAGCCGAGTTTTGATTGTGCCTCATGTGAACTCCGAAGTGGCCGATTCTCCCTTTTGGAGGTCCGCTAAGGCCACCCAAAACATGTCCAGCATCCTTATCTCCTTATCCTGAAAAAAACAAAACGTGCACGCCCTGAACATGATCAAGCAATTAATGTTTCTTCCTTGGCATCCAAGTGTCTGGATATCCTCGCCAAAGCTTGCAGCGCTTCATTGGCAAAGCGGCGGGGAACAAAGTACTCCTCAGCAAGGGCCGAGTGTACCAGATCGGTTTGAATCTGGCCAAAAGGCTCTGAAATTGTCGAGCCAGGAATCTTGGTCGCTGTTGACCCCTCTGCAAAAAGTTTCTAACTTTTTGTGGTCATGGAAAACCCATTAGTTTCCAGAAAAACAAGTCTAAAGATCCAACCCATCAAGGAATGAACAGCAAACATTAGCCATTTCTGCACCGATACATCTTCGCCCGTTGCGGCAAGCAGCGGCAACCAAACCGAAAGTTTCGTGCGTGGTGCGGTGCCAAAGTACAGTGCCGTGCCATCACTTGAACATTTGCCTGCCATAAGACTGGCAAACTTCTACTCCTCTGCTGATTTCGTTTCCGAACCCAGCCGAAGGGTTTCGTTCCCCCCCAACTAGCTCGTTCAAAGCAGCCGACTGCAGCTCCGCCCCAGAAGAAGGAATGAACTCTGCCTGCCAGTGGCGGGGGGTCATTCAGGAACGGAGACTTCCCAAACTTGACCTCTCCTGGAGATGTGTCCAAACAAGAAGCCCTCTGGGACGGTTTCAAGGAAATCGGCAAACTTGCCATCTCGAAGGATGGGGAAGGATCCTTACAAACAGACAGACAGACAGACAGACAAACAAACAAACAAACAAAGAAACAATGCAAACAAACGATGGGGCCTACAGGACACATGGAGTCCACACGCCTGAGGTTTGCTGATTTCCACATTGGACACGAAACCCCTCTGGACCAGAGCCTCTTCCGAGTGCTTTGAGCCGCCAGCTAACGCGTCGTGGGACAATGAAATGCATTTGGCTCCGGGAAAGAGTGTGGAACTAAGCCTAGATCGGCTTGCTGCAAAGAGAGAAGCTAGGAGCGGCATGTTGCATGTGTGACGAACTTGGGCGACATATTGATTACAAAGGATGGGGATCACTTCAGTGACACCTGTAACTGGCTAGAGTCGCTGAACCTTGTGGCCGCAGAGAACAGAGGGTGCATGTGCGTGGAGGGGGCCAACTGGGACAACCGTGTCTTGGAACTTGGGAGAGGACGTCCGAAAGCTGGCACCAAATGGCACCAACCTTATAGCAGCAGGTGGGAAACCAGCCCAAACAAAAGCTCAAACCAGCGCCAACAAACGGCCAAGCATGCTTCCGGCACGCATTCACCCCGACGGACTGAACCGATTTCCAGGTTCTCCTTGCAAAACGGGACCGTCGGGCCGGGACCCTTTAGGTGTGATCACGATCTTGCCACCCACTCCCCCGCAGGTACCTCGA